AGGGAGGGAGGGAGGGAGGGAGGGAGGGAGGGAGGGAGGGAGGAAGGAAGGAAGGAAGGAAGGAAGGAAGGAAGGAAAGAAAGTCTTAAGTTCCATAGGCAGCATTGTGCACTGATCTGCTTTATGTATTTTAAAGTCATTTTTGCTTTTAAAAAAGTAGAACTTTAGTAAAACTTAATTGGGAATCTAACTTATCCCAGGTGAACTTGCAAGTGGCTGCTTACTATTATCTACTGTAGTAAAAGCCACTGGTGGCACAGAAGCACAGCAAGTTGGCAGCAAATACTAAAGAGAAGAATTGAACAGTACCAGTAATCTTGAAGAAGAAATAGCCTGAATTTGATTAATTCTATTTTGTTGGGCTAATCCATAATTGTTTAGCAATTATCCTGTAACAATAGCAGAATCTTCAGTACTACTTTCTCGGTGCAGGCCCACCCTCTGAATAGACTCTGTGTATTTTTGCCTTCCCAGTCCAATAATGGTGGTGATCTCATCTGCTATGTCTTGGCGGCCACTATCCTCCATGGCCTTAATCAGCTTGTCTATGCAGTCAGGCTTCTTTTCATTTTGCTGAGCCCAGGAGAAGAGCATATCTAAAATCTGAGTATGGAGATCTTCCCTAGGGGTGGAAAAACAACAGTGGAAAAAAAAAGGTTTGTATTACACATATGAAAGTCTAGTTTGCTTTAAGTATCAATATCACACCTTCCAATGTGCTGCTATCAATTTACATAATAGGGATTGATTGATTATTTAATGTACATGCTGCCCATCTCACTATCAAGGAACTCTAAGCAGCATAAAATGGTCACATGTAAAAAAGTGGTAAGCATTAACTCATTATTTTAAGCAGCAACTTGGTTTAATGTCTTCTGAATAGGAAAAACATCCTTTTGAGGGCATAGCTAACAGAGTAAACCTAAACATTTGCTGAATCCAGCAGCATCCTAGGGGTAAGGAAGCCATAATACTTGAGCTCATGGGAGGCATGTAATCCCCACAGGTTGTACTTGCATGAAATATTAAACTGCAAGGATTGGTTAACAACTTGCATGCATGCCTCCCATGTTAACCATTTAAGTAAATATGCTGATCAGTCACACTGTGAAAGTGTCCTTGTCCCTCTGAAGGAAGGATGGACTGGAAAATCTAGTCTGTGTGAAGTGGGATAACCTGCTGAACATCTTGTAGAATCACCTGCATATGCTCCAAGTTGAAGTGGGAAGAAACATCTGAATGGCACGTAACATTATGTAGGAGATTTTTGAACCTATAAATCCCAAGGAAATAGACAGCTCTCTGGATTAGATCCTTCCCCACTCAGGCTAATTGAAGTGGCCAAGGAGAGAATTAGGAGTTGGACTCAAGCTGTAGTCAATGTTTCTTTGCGGGAAGATGCCAGGAGAAGTCCTTAAAGATGTTCATCCACTCATTAAGAGGCCAAGACTAGATCCAACAAAACTAGACAATTATTGTACTATAACCAAGTTTTCTTTCTGAATGTAAGGTACTGAGAAAGTTGTGAGGCTGCAAAGGGCTATGGAGGATATGGATTATCAAGACTTTGACTATCGAGGATCAGACTGGATATAGACAGAAACCGATTGCTATCACAGATGGTGGGACTTTGAATAGAGGTGGCATGACTATTATTGTATTCCTGGATTTTTAATGGTATTCAATGCAGTTGACTACAGTATCTTTCTGGATCACATACATGGGTGGGATTTGGAGGCATGTTGTTATGGTGCTTCTGAAGACAGGTGGTTAAGAAAGAGGTTAGGCTTCAAAGAAACTTCATTATGGAAGATCTCCCTTTCCCCTATTCCTGTGCAACATTTACATGAAACTGCTGAAGACATTTGCTGGTTTGAGATGAAGTTTCATCAATATGCAGATGATACTCAGCTATACATTTTTATCTGAAGCCTGACATAGATATCATAACCCAGTATGTGAAGGTTGTTCAAAGTTTGGTTGGGGAAAAACAGGCTTAGGCTTAACTCAAACAAGACAAGAGTTGCTGTTGATTCTGGGGCTGACTGATTCCAGGTCTGGGTATTATTTGGCTTTTGATCAAATCCCACCCCCCCACCCCGCCCCAAACAGGTTTGGGAAAGATAAGAGAATGACCAGCAGCAAGATGGATAGGCTCAGTTACAATAGCCATGAGTGCACCTTTGGAAAGATCCAGCTTACTGATAGCTCATAAAAGAAAAAAAAATATTTACACGGTTGCTAACAGTTCAAAACAACTTAATGGCACATAATCAATTTAAAAAATCAAATTAGAATAAGGGTTTTGTTTTTTGCCCTGGTCTAACTCCCTGTGGTATCTTGTCCCTGCTCTTTGACCCTGCAGAGATATTCTATCCAGTGGTGGGTTCCTCGAAAGGAGTACTCTTTAGTTTAGATGGAGTAGATTACCACTTGAAGGAGAGATGACCCAACCTTCATGGTCTCCAAGATGCAAGTTATAACTCTTCCAAAGAACCTTTGAGGATTAACTATGCATAGCAGCATGATTGTCTACAACTCTAGCCCTTTACTTCTATTCACTATTTAAATTAATTTTTATTCTGATTCTGCATTCTATTTTTTTCTATGTAAGTTCTGTCAGACAACATCACAAATAACAAACAAGCAAAATAGGAAAGCTGAATGGTATGATAACTCCAAGGCAACACAAAAAAATACTTTTTATCATCTAAGAAACAGATGAAGATATAAACAGCTGGATTATTGATGCTTTGGGTCATATTTCCTGAATTAATTTCATGGTTTTTTGATGTTTTTTGATGTTTTTTTCCCCATTCTCACCTGTTGTTGTACTGTATCCGCTCCAACTGCTGATAGGACAATCCCAAGTTTAAGCCAATGATTCTCCATTCAGCTCCCATGCGTCCAGCAATGCCAAGGAGATTGGACTGAGTCAAATAGCCAGTTTCAGCATTCCCCAAATTCAAAGGAGGAAGAGAGAAGCCATCTGGAGTTGTGGGCTGCTTGTTTACCTGACTTTTCAGTTTCTGATAGAACAGAAGATAACACATTATCTTGTTATCACATATTAACATGTTATCCTGTTATTCATGACATGTTACAAAACATGGCTGTGACCGTCCACCTTGGATCTTGAGTCAGAGTGCACTGTTCTTTGGATAATTGATTCTCATTTTGAATTCACCTTAGCACGAAGTTTTGGTGTGTTCAACTGTTTCAACTACCCTCATCATTTAAATTCAATTGATTTAGCTCTACTTAGATGGATACTGTTCTGTTATGGATATATTTATTCAGAATTAATTTCAGGTAAATGTATAAAATATTGAAGTACAACCATCTTTAATGTACAATTATGGTCAATTGTCTTCCATTCATCATTGAGTCATGGGAAAAAATCATAATTGGTTTGGTGTGTTCTGGAAATTTCTTCAACTACTACAGATTTAGAGAAAGACATCCTTTCCCCACTTAGAAAAGACTCCAAGCTCTGTTGGATTTCAACATCTACCATCTTGATCACTGATGTTGCTGATTGGGACAACATTTATCCAATGTTTTTGTTTCTGATTTTAAAATTGGTGAAATAACAACTTTTGCTATTAGTAATGTAGCTTTTGTGCCTTTAAAGTGTAAAGGAGGAAGGTTTCTACCCACTAATATTAACTAGTTCTTCAAAAAAATAATGAGAAACAATACATATTTTTGGCTAAAACATAGTCTCTGGTCTGTCTTAGATAAATTACATAAAAAATTAAAATTAAAATAGTATTCACAAAAGTAGAGATTGTACTAAAGGAAGTGCCATAAAGACAGAAGTTGGTTCACCATGAGTTTTGGGAAACTTATATGAACTTATACATACAAAATGATTCAGATACCATCTTGTTAAGGTCCTATCAGTTTCAGCCAGAAAGAGACTTGAGTAATGATGGGTTATAAACTCTCCTGGTCAGAAGTTATCTGAAATCTGTTGAAGGGTCAATCATCATTCAAGGTTAAAAATATACTTAAAGTTTTGCTTATCAGTTAATGGTTAATAAAGGTTGGTTTATTTTGAGTTACGGAAAGTATTAAAATGTGAACTGGGTGTATGATATGGTACAAAACACAGATGTGTATGTTATGCTAAGAAGGAAACAGTGAACTTTGAATTAGGAATGGATAATAAAAGGTTAGGCATTAATAAAGGCATTAATTTGGAATATTTATCTAAATGAAAGATAGGTATCTTCTTGCTTACATCTAATCTCTTAGGAATTTTATGATCAATGAAATGGCCTGGAATATGAATTTGTGTTAAGTATATCATATAATGATGCAATTATACAACATACTTGCTATTAAACTGAGTGTGTTCCTGTTTATAAATTAGAAAGTATCCTTACCATTAGAAGTGCATACTTGTGAGCTGAAACATCTTAATATTTGAAAATTAGAAAAGTTATCCTTTATAAAAAATAAACTATTTTAGAGAAATTCTATTTAACCACTGTTATATAGTGAAAACCCACATTATAGAATTATAAATTGTCAGTTAAAGAGACCAATGGATTCTCTTACTGAACTGAATGAATCCAACAACAAAAAATTGGTAAATGTTTATTGAAAGTATATTAATTGTCTATAGGCAATTAATTGGCAGTCAATTTTTTAAAATAATGGAATTATTTTCCTAAGCAAACATAGCTAACTTAAATAGTTTTTCAAAACCCTACATACTATCCTCATGCAGTCTTTAGCCAGATGCCATTCAAATGTTCCAAGATCCAACCAACCAGCTTTAATGTACAAATTATTCTTAATAGTCTTCCTTCCTACATATTTTATTTTCATTTATGTAAAACTATATATATAAAAGCGAAATACCACTCGTGCATCATCCAGAACCGTAAAGCCTACAAACTTGAAATTTGGCACTTATGTTCCTCTTGGCTTCTAGGTGCTCACTAAGAAAGGATTTTTTGAAATGACCATCAGAGTATTAGTGTTTTGTATATTATTATTAACATGCTCTGATGCTAAGGAGTTCTACTCCCCTTCCCCACCTGAAAAGAAATCGGTTCCAAATGCAAAACACAAACAGAGGAGTTTCAATTTTAGTTTCACAGCAGCAACCTGCTTTAGTATAGGACAGTTGAGCTAAACCATGCCCAGGCTCCTTGCTGTCTCCTTGCTCACACAGCAAATACTGTTTCACTTTCCAAACAGCCCTCAACTCTCTGACACACTGACAGGATGCTAGCCAGATGAATACTGATGGATGCTGGTAGGCAGAGGCAGAATCCCCCCCCCCCTTATTTTCCTCCCAAAAAACTAAGCCCAACCACTTATTTTTGTAGCAAAGCACAGGTATCAAGCTAGTATTTTATATAATTTCATACAGCTGACAACACAAACAACACCAAATGTAAAGTACAAGTCAGTACAAAATAGCAAAACCCTTTCCTGTTTCAATGATGCCTTTAAAGTTCAGCCAGTAAATATAAGGTTATAGTTTTAATAGTTCTATTGTGGCTTTAAGGGTATTTTATTATTTAATTATTGATTGGGAACCATCCAGTCTGGTATAAAATGGGTGGTTGTATAAATGTTTTAAATAAAATAAATAAACAACTATTAAAACAATCAACTAACAATTCCATATTTTCTCTTGATACCCTGTCTACTAATACTATCATCATGATATAAGGGATATTTCATGTGAAGTATTAAAGGAGTAACTGCATAAGACAATCTGTGGGGTGACTGCCTTACATAAACAAGTGTCCATGCAAGACACTTCCCAATCGGCAAGACCAGGGGAAAAAAGAATAGCAATCCTAGTGCTACACTTGTGGATTCTTCTTTGTGAATAACACTTACAGGTAGCTTGATTGGCAAGGTAGCTAGCCAGTGAGAATCGGGCCCCTTCCTCCTTCTTGTAATCTCTTCAGGAATGTTCTCAGGGACTTCTCCTCGATAAAAGGAAACCTTCAAAAAGATATTGGCCTTAGATAGATTTGAAAGAACCACAGCTGGCTGAGATGTTGGTGTTCTCTCATTTGGGAGGTTACTTATTTGTGCATTTATTTATAGAGGTTCTGGGATGAGATAAATGCATAGCAAATATTCTGTCCCTGGCATATTGTTGCGTGCCTATTATCAAACCAATCTGTTGAGGATTATTGCTATGTTTTGATTACCTGGGATTTGCTGTGCTCATTCTTTTGCCCCCCTCCACCCCAACATTTCTTTTATAACTTTAAGTTAGTGTTGAAAACTTTCTTGTGCTTTCTTGAACCACTTTCAAAAGTGGTTTGCCATTACCTCCTTCCCAGGATTGAGAGAGACTGACTGGCCCAAAGTTGCCCAGCTGGCTTTGTGCCTAAAACCACAGAACTTAAGGTCTTTCAGTTTCTAGGCTGGTGCCTTAACCATTACACCAAACTGGCTTTCTTCTTTTGCTCTTACAAACTGTGCATTTGTAAGCTCTAGTACTATCAATGCATAATATGCAATTAAATTCATATAAATTTCCTTATTTAGAAAAAAGATATATATCTTTATATATCTCTATCCCTAAATTCTGAGGTAAAGTGACTTTGGGTTCAACTGTGAACAACAGCCATCCATGAAGCACATTCTACAAAAATAATTGGAAGATAATATTTAGTACAATTTAGTACAATCATAATTATATGTTCATCTTTTGAATTATGGAATCAGAGAATATAAATAAGTTATGCCACTGCACTCGGACAATGAGAATTGATAAGCTGGTATTAATTGAATTAGTAAAAAGAATTGATATGCTAGTATTAATTAATTGGGGTACAAACTATTATGGGAAATTTTACTGTGGATAAGAAGAGAAGCATATGTACCTGCCCTTTCACAGGCTTACTGTTTCTGTCCACTTCAGAGGTAATATAGACTTCCTTCACATTTTTCAAATGAGAGAAAAAACTGAATGAAATCCTTCCATCAATACAGTCTGGCCGGTCTGAAATAAGTTTGAGAAAATAACCCAATTTGCTTAAATAATTTCATACTTATAAAATAGCCCCCTGCAGCTAGAAGTTTTCTAAATGGGATGGAACACAACTTTTGAAATTCTCAGTTACCACAGGATCAGGTTTGGGAAGGCTATTAGGAAGACTGAACTTCTTTGACATGTTTTTGTCCCACAAAAAACAGAATTTTGGAACCAAGTCATTTCAATTTTCTTTTTTCCCATCCTCAGTCTCAAAGTAAATTGTAAATTTTGCCACACATTAGCAAACCATATAAAGTATCCCACATTTATTACTCAAATTCTCACTTGAAATGACTCTGTTAAGAAGGCAAAAATAACCACTTTCAGTTAAAGGCCTTTTCACATTAATATCATGTGTCCTCCCTTCTAGGACAATGCCCTTGAAATTTTCAAGCACCTAGGAGTGCATATATAACATTTATCTAAAACAGTTTAAAGCAACTAAATCTTTCCCTGGAAAATTCAGAAAAGGAATTTCCTCCTTATCCATAAATTAGAAACTAGTCCCAGGGGGGCGGTGGGGGACAGAGGGAAGTGATTTCTATAAGTCAGAGGCAGGAGAACTCATATTTATTGTTTCTCAGATATAGGCCTCCACTATGATACCATTTAATACGGGATTAAGATGTATCCAGGTTCTGCCTGTGCAACTGATTCTCTCTTTTGGAAATACTGAGCTATGGTAGCACAGTGGTTAAAGTGCAGTATTTCAGGCTAACTCTTCAATCCTGACCAGCTAAAAGCTGACTCAGCTTTAAATCCTTCCGAGGTCCGTAAAATAAAGACCTAGACTGGGGGCGGGGGGTGTCCTTGGTGCTCTTTGAGCTTGCTTGTTTTCTTGAAGATGTTTCATTACCCAAACTATGGTAGGTAACATCATCAGTGCTAGTAAAGAGTGCTGTTTGCTGTCCGTTTATATTCTGGTGTCTTGCCTGTCTGGAAAGGTGGGGACAGTCTTAGGGATTCTTTGGTTGGGCTGTTTACGAATGCCTCTTTGGCATTATTTTATTTCAACCCTGAACTGCAAATATTCCCCTTTATTAGGACCTAGATTGTTGGGGGCAATATGCTGACACTGTAAACTGCCCAGAGAGTGCTGCAAAGCACTATTGGGTGGTGTATAAGTCTAAGTGCTATTGCTACTGTTATGAACTGATTTGGAATTGCACAGCTAAACTTGAGTTATGGAGGCATCCATATGTAAATATAGACAAGCTGTTTGATATTTCACCTGCATCAATGCTGATGCCCCGTTCAAAAGCTGCAAAGAACTGCTCCCCTTCAAACATCTCCACAATGTCAGATGGCTCAGGGCCTCGATATCGGTCATGGAGCTTTTTCAAAACAGGATCCACCTAAAAGACCATCAGAAAGGAATAAAGAAACTAGAAGGTATTTTTTAAATCCTCATTTCTTTATCCTTGTACCACTTCAATGGTAAGATTCAGGTTTCCAAGGAAATGAGCTCCCAGAGACTGGCTGATTGTACTCACTGTTAAGAGATGTCTCCCGAGTTCTAGGTTGCTTCTCTGCTTGGTTAGTTTCCATCTATTGCTTCTTGTCTTGCCTTCTGGTGCTTTGGAAAAAAAGCTGACTCCCCCCTCTTCTCTGTGGCAGCCGCTCAAATATTGGAACACTGCTATCATGTCACCCCTGGTCCTTCTTTTCTCTAGCCTAGGCAGATCCAATTCGATCTGTTCTTCGTATATTTTAGTCTCTTAATTGCTCTTTTCTGCACTCTTTTCAGAGTCTCAACATCTTTTTTTATATCATGGTGGCTAAAGTAGATGCAGTATTCAAAGTGCAATTTATATAAACATACTATATACAACATACACTCACAAATGAATTTTGTTTGTTTTGGCTCTACGTTTTTGTAAGTTTGGCTCCGGACACACGCTTACAGGCCAAGTGCAGCTTTAAATGAAGAAAACATTCCTACTTATTCCAACTATATTCCAGTTTTTAGAACTCTGACTACTAAGAACAACTTCGTGTTTGCAGAATACAAGCTGCATTTCCTGTGATATGGTCATACGTGTGCATCGGTATATGTGATGTGTGCAGAGATGTACTCATCTGCACATGCAAACACCCACCTTGTGCTTTGGGAGGCACTGGAGCAAAACTTGTTCTGGATCTTTCTTTCTCTGCAGTGCTATGAAGTTCACCTGATACATGCGCAACCTTTTATAGACTTCTTTGGCAAAGCCACCAATATAGGCTTTTGTGGTGCACCATAACCAATACCTGGAAGGAAAGGGAAACCCGTGAAATGATTTGGATTGGTCCAGGTCTTCTCTGATCAAGTCAACCACTTGGAAATATGAGTGTATGAGGGCTACACAATTGCTTTATTAATGAGAAAATGCAAGTGGTATGAATGATTCTTATACTAAAATAAAAATATTTATTAGATTTTTTTTTTTACTTTATACATAACTCGTGGTGGTAAATATAAATAGGAGTATTATTTACTCTTTCCTCCTGTTCTTTTTCTCCACCATTAACCCTCAGAGCAGTTGGGTTGAGAGAGAATGACTGGCTCAAAGCCACTCAGCTGACTTTTGTGTCTCCATCAAGCTTCCAACCACAGTGTTGGCAACCATAGCTGGTGCTGCTCCAGTGAGCAAGAAGAGGACAAGAGTTTGAGAGTCTGGGTGAGCATTCAAGAGCAGGATCAAGAGACTTTGACTATGGGGAGCAGAAAAATCCCCTTGAGCCACATGGGTACACATGGGGTGATTCCATCCATCACAGCTAAGCAAGTCAAAGAAAGCCACGTGAAGCCTTGCTTCCCAGACTTACTCAGAAAAATGTAATGCAGGAGGAGGAACAAATATACAGCAGGTAGGCTAGCCTACATCTTAAAAATGTGCTTTACACACACACCAAATCTCATGTGCCGTCACATGCATAAAGCAACAAAAACAAAGTCTAAATTTCCAATATGCAAAAATATTTGTATTATCTTGAGGTCTGGTCTCTGCTTAGAAACTGCAGATAATGAGGCCGGGCATAAGGAAAGCACTCTGTATCTCTGGATTGCTTGGTGTCCACCATGTCATGACTTTTAAAGCATTCTAAAGAAGAAAAGCAATCTCAGCAAAATGTGGAGACAGATTGTTTCCCATCACTTAACAGAATAACAGAATTGGAAGGGACCTTCTAGTCCAACTCCCTGCTTATGTAGGAGACTCTATACCAGGGGTCCCCAACCACCGGTCCGCGGACCGGTACCGGTCCGTGGAACAAGTCCTACCGGGCCGCTGGCTTGCTGGGCGCCGCCATCTTTTTTTGATGAAAAAGTGCTTCCGGTGAGCTTTTCCGGGTAGAAAGCTCACCGGAAGCACTTTTTCATCAAAAAAAGATGGCGGTGCCTAGCTAATGCCGGTACCAGGCCGCGCCATAAAAAAGGTTGGGGATACCGGGCCGCGGCGTAAAAAAGGTTGGGGATCACTGCTCTATACCATGTCAGACAAATGGCTGTCCAAGTTGTTTTGCAAAACAACTGTATAAACAGGGTTTCAGCTCTTATGGTCAAGTAAAATGCTTCAAATGCATATCAATTCTGTTGTAAATATGTTGGAAAGGTCAACTGAGAACATTTGCTGTTTACCATAGAAAGAAAACCGCTGGCCCAAATAATGCCTAGCCACAGAGTCCACAACCACTTAAATGCTACTGAGATTAATATTATGATTGCTAGCCTACTAACCAAGAGAAGTGTGTTACTTCAAATAAGGCAAAGAGGTGGGTGAACTCCAGTATCACTTGATCGGTGATGTCACTCCAGTTCTGAGCATCCCAGTCACTGTGCAACAAGTGTACTCTGGAATGATCCAAGGTTAGACCTGAGGGGAAAAAATAAAAAGATGTTAGCCATAAACTTCAAGGTTGAACTCTTTTTCAGTTTATAATGGCATCAGAGGTTGACTTATGTCATTGATGGGACAGATAACATTTGGAAAGGACTATGATAGTTTGACCAAATGTAAACAATGAATGTTCTGCAGGATAGAGCTAAACTGCCCTAAACTTTCACAATGCCTATCCTTAAGAACTTAACCTAATTTCCTCCACAGAAGATAAATGCTCTCAAAATTGCATTTAACTGTATCAAGGGATTGAACTGCTCTTGAAATTCAGGGAGCTGCATATTTTAAAGAAATATTCCCATTCCATGAAAACATTTTTAAAAAATCTGGAAAACTAACCTGTGACTCCAGGAGGCAGTGGAAGCTGAATTTTAACAGGCTGAAGAAAGTCCACAGTGGAACTTTGAGAGAGGCAGAGGAGAGGGCTGGCAATTGTTTCAGAATCACCCGTGATCTCTCTTAGGTCCCTTGTTGATACAGGAAGCACCTGAAAGTAACATAAAATAAAATAAAATAAAATAAAATAAAGATAATCGGGCCCATTCAAGACTGCGTGGGCTTTCATACATGAAAAATCTCTCAGGGCCTCTTCCCACAGCCCAAAAGTTGATCCTGAACTTCAAGAGACTTACTTGAGAGGAATCTGACAGAATTTAAGGTAGAAGTCCCCAACCCCCATCTGTGAACCGGCACTGGTCCACAGCATGCCAGAAATCAGGTAGCACATGAAACCACATTCCCTCTGGTCCAAGGAAAAACCTCTTTCCACGGAACCGGTCCTTGACTGGGGGCCATTGATTTAAGGGATGCCTTTGGCAAAAAAAATAAACAGGAAGACTCTTGGATTCTGGCCAAAGGTTCAAGCCCCAATTTGTTCCTAGTGGGGGCTCTTGGGTGAGCCTTTCCAGTTGTTAGTTCTCAAATCTGGCTCAGAAGAGTAAATTCCTTGATTTTGTTGTAAATCCTGAATTTGCCTAATCTTCAGACAAGAAAATATTGTCTCAAGCAGAAAAAGGTTATCTTGGTCAATTTTTTTCTGAATGGGAAGAAGTGGTAGCCTTTGGGTTTGAATTTTTTAAAAAAAATATTTATGGAATTAAAATTAAGCATGGCCAGCATTTTTCATTTCTGTCAGAGTATTCAGAAACTGAAGCACTGCTCAGTTGACTGAGAGACTCGTTTAAAAAAAGCAACAGCAAATACTGCTCCACCAAAATTCAAATCTTGTAAAGGACTATTGTTCTACAAAAATGCATGCAAATATAGTATGCTTTATTCTGAATGTGACACACACACACACACACACACACACACACACACAACCATACATTTTATGTAAGCTAATCTTTTGTCTTAGAGATGAACGACAAGAAGAAACCATATGTGGCAGGCAACAGAGCTGGATGGAGAAGGTGAATGAATGAGAGACTCTGAAACAATGGCATGCACTGAACAAATACTGCAGGCACTTATTGTAAACCTCAACTTCATTTCTCTTCTGTCTATGCAGAAGAGAAAACTAGAACCCTTAAAAAAACTGAATACCACTTTTCTCATGCAGCAAGTAAATATACTGTTCTCCATAAAAATATTAATAACAAAAACTATATGCACAGAATTGCAGAGTGCGATCAGGCTTTGATTATTTACATTCTCACCATCCTTCCTGGCTAAAAATTAAACAACATCCCTAATGAAATTTTACAAATTAGCAATGTGGGCTAATTAAGAAAAAAAATTGAGGGCTGGCTGTATAAATCAAACCTGAGATTAAGCAAGTATTTCAGGACCTATCTTTTAACTGTATAGCTTTAAATTCACATGACCCAAATTGTGTGACCTGAACCAGGTGATTTTCAATCTTGTAACGCAGGCAATTTTTTTCCTGGAAGGCTGGATTACTGGGAGTCAATGTTTATCTGTATTTTTGAGGTGGGTGGGTGGCTTCTTCCTTACCTGAAGCTTCACTGTCCTCATCTCCTCGGTCACACCAGGAGGAAAGGTCACTTTAATCTTGGGATCAACAGTTGAAAAAAGCAAGCCCCCTTCCTGGCAGACTTTGCATTCATCCTCCACAAGGCGTGAGACAACCAAAAACCAGGAGAAGTGAGAGACGCTGCAGCAAGCCGAATGCTTCTGTCCAAGAATGTGGAAGAATGAAGAAAACCTTCAGTACATACGGAAGTACTTTAAAGATACAGACACCAACTCACTATCACAGTAGATCATAACTTGGGGCTTAATAGTGAAGTCGGACTAGCCCCCAGCTTGCTGTTTTAGGACAGCTATTAAAAACTGGCTTTTAAAGACAACCTTGGAAGGGTTTACCCTGTATACCCTGAGTTGTGTCTGATTTTGTTCTCAGCAGGGGTGGGATTCAAAGTTTTTAACAACCGGTTCTGTGGATGTGGCTAAGTGGGCATGGCCACAAGACTGGGTGGCATGGCTTCTTCTTTTTTTTGCAGAACACCCCCCACGCTCCATTTTTGGGCCTCCTGGTCCTCAGGGAAGCCTCCTGAGGGGTGTTTTTGCTCCCAGAAGGCTTCCCTGAGGCCCAGAAAGGCAAAAAA